ACAGATACAAGTAAGATTAAGTCTTACTTCACACAATATGTCATCACGGGTCGTATCCCTAGGGTAAAACACGGCACTTACCTTTTTGGATTTATTAATAAAACGTTTTGCCATGATAATTTATTCTTCTTTTTTTATTTAAATATCTGAAACTCCTTTTGTTTCAGATTGACAGCTATCGTTATTATTATAATAATAACACTACCAACAACATTCCTCCCATCTTCAAGAAGCCCACCCTTCTCAAGAGACTTGATATATCCAGAAAAAATATCATGTTCAGTTCCTTTATATAAAAACTTTATGTCACCCCGCGTGACAGTATAACACTCTTCTTCTGAGTTGTTTTTACTTTTTATAAAAAATGATTGTTTCATTCTGATTCAACAACATAAAATAGCCCGCCCCATTTATCATCGAATTTTGAATCAGTTACCCTGTTTCTTTTAAGAACAATATCCCCAATGAAAATATCATTAACTAGATAAAGTTTTTCATTACTTCGTTTTATAATATTTTCATAAGAAGAACCTTATCAGAGAAAACACCTAAAGTATTTTCAAAACTTTGTAATCTTGATTTTAGGAGTTCCTCTTTATTAAATTAAGATCGTCTGTGATCTCTGTTGATTCATCAATGCTCATCTTCTGAGCTTCTAAGTCTTTAATATTCTCAACTTTAAAATCTTCTTGTTATTAATCATTTTATTAATTTCTATGGGTAAAACTTTTAATTAAAAGTTTTACCGTTATTAATTTTAAACTGAAGCATTCCTTTAGGTAACACTCTTTATTCTCAAATAAATAATTTTCCCTTATAAACTCATCCTCTCGTAAAAATATAGGTGAAGCTCTTCCATAGACTAGCTCAAATAGTGACATTTTATATTGAGCTTTTGGTGATACTCTATAACAAAATAAAGCAGCATCAAGAACCATATCTCACTGGTTATATAAATCAACCAGACATTTAAGCTTATTTATCAATATTCTATTACCTCTTTCAGCTTTACCATTACTAGAAGGAGTATATGGTACAGTAAATTTCATTTTAGAACCCCAATATCTACAGAATGCATCAACAATATTATTAACAAACTCAGTACCACAATCAGATCTTATATGAGTTGGTGGACCATGAGTAAAAATATTTTCAATAAGGAATTAGCAATACTTTAGCAGATTTATTCTTAATTGCTTTACCTTCCACCCAGCTTGATGCGTAATCTGTTGCAAGTACTATGAACCTATTACCCTTTTTAGTTTTTGGTAAAGGATTTATCAAATCAATGCCAATAGTACCAAACATCTGGTCTTCTAAAATTGGGTTTATTTTATAATTTACCCTAACATCTTTTTTTCTTTTACACAAATAACACTTTTCAGTGAATTTTTTTAAATCGTTGAACTTTATGTTTTTAAACCCTTGTGATCTTGTAAACTCAAATGTAACTGAAGCAGAAGCATGACGCGTCGCCTTATGGTAGTTATCAATAATGTTGTTTACTTCAGAACAAGATAATATATTTACATACAATACGTGAAAGAAAATCCGCAAGTTTATTTGTTGAACCAGGAGTATAAATAGTTTCTATATCATATTGATTTAAAAGCAAAATCCAACGAGCTAATCTACCTTTTGAGTCTTTTAATTTCATAAGCCAAACCAATGGTTTATGATCAGTTTTAATAATCACCTTATTTGATAAGTAATGTTGAAATTTCTTTACTGTGTAAATTATTGCTAGCAACTCTTTCTCATTGGTGCTATATCTAGTTTCCTCAGATCTAAGTTGTCTACTTATACAACGCACAATACTATCAGATTTTGAATCAAACTGTTTCAATACACCACCAATGCCTGTATTTGAAGCATCTGTCTCAATATAAAATTACTTTTTAAAGTCAGGTAAGGACAAAACACCACTCTCAAATATTTTACCTAACAGAGATTCTAGAATTATTCTAACGCAATCAAGATTAAATTTTAGCTTACCCGTTGCATATTGATACAAATCTTTAGCATTACCTGCAAAAATTTTTATAAACTGTCTTAAATAATTTAAAACTCATAAAATTGATTGCAAACTTTTTGCATCTGTTATTTTTGAACCTAAATCTCTTAATTTAGTAATAGTTTCATCTGCAATTAATATTTTTCCATCAAAAATTTTATACCCAAAAAATATGATAGATCTTTATAGAAAAACTGATTTACTTTGAGATATTTGCAAACCAAATCTATCTGAAGTTAAAAATACTTCGTTTTATATTTCAAAATGCTGATCAATAGTTTCTGTCGCTATTATTATATCATCCTTATAAACCTGGATGTTTTTTCCAATATGTTTACTAAGAACGATATACATTAAGTTTTGGAAATGCGCTGGTGTATTTCTTAGGCTAAAAGGCATACTTGCATACATAAATTTACCTAAAGGGGTAGTAAAACTTGTAAATTCTGTTGATTCCTTTTCCATAACAACTTGGTGGTATCCGGTTTCCAAATCTATAACACTATAATATTTCGTTCTACCTAGATTACTAAACAACTCTTCAATGATTGGCGGTGGGCAATTTTCTGGTTTAATGTTTTTATTAAGTTCTCTAAAATCTATACAAAGCCTCTATTCACCATTTTTCTTTGAGACTAAAAGAACTGGATTGTTATAAACACTTACCAATTCTTCAATTATACCTTCTTTTAATAACTTTACAACCTGTTGTTTTAGTGCTTCCTGTTTAATAGGGCTTAGTGGGTAGTTTCTCTTGTTAATAACTATATTCGGATCCTTAAGTACAATTCTGTGGTGTGCTAATTTGTATTTATGACCAAGATTCTTTTTTAATATAACATTGTATTCTTTCATTATGTTTTGAAATTCAAGATCAGATTGTTTATCCTCATTACCATAAAATTCTCTTGGTCAAGATTTACTTCAATATGAAGTTTCAATGACTGAATAATGGCAAATACCTCTGAGTTTCTCAATTATAAGTCTACATTTGAACAATTTTTTATAAAAAAATTATTTTCTCCAATTGAAATAAGTTGATCTATTAACTCTACATTTTTTACAAAAACTTTTTTTACTCTACCCTCAATTTTGGATTTCATAAGACAAAAATTTTCAGAATTTGATTCAAATTTATAATTACCATTTGACCTTAAACATTCATCTGGATAAACTAGTTCACACTCTTTGCCATCTATTAAAGCTATCTTTTTTGTTATATTAATTGATACTTTATGTTTAATCATAAAATCATTACCAAGAATCAGTTTATGTGAAACTCCCTTTACTATAAAAAATAATTTTTTGTTATAATATTATCGATTTTGATCTTTACATTAACCCATTCATTTATAATTTGATCTCCACAAGCTGCGCTTAACTGCATTTGACAACTTTTTACTCGTTCTATTGCCATTTCTTTAATAAACTCGTCTTGTATAAAATTATCTGTTGCTCCTGTGTCTAACAGAAAGAATTCAAAAGTGTTATTTACCTCTCCTATTAATCCCAATGCTTTATTACTCACTTGTTTATCTTCCATAAAAGACAAATGCATACTAAAGTTAGATTTTTTATTGTCATTATATTCGTCTTTTACTCTTTTAATATTAGCAAGGTTTTTTTGTTTTTTTCTATCTTTTTTAAACTTAGAAAATTCAGGGCATTCTTTTAACCAATGATTTCTTCCACAACCATAGCATTGAACTGATGTTTTTGCAAACTTCTTTTTCTCCTGTTCTGTGGGTTACTGTATGAATATTGCAACCTTGTTTGTTTATTTTTATCATTTATATTCTATTTTTGATAAATTATATTTTTAGGTAAAAAAGATTTTCTTTCTAGTAACCTAAAAACTTCTCTCCAGTCATTACATTGCTCAAGAAGATTATGGTTATTTTCTCTAAAATGCTTTTGCACATTCATTATTATTTCTTGAACAGGTAACATTATCTGATCATTTAGAATTTTTAAATCATAAAATAATCTAAAGCTTTTTGATTTTCTGGTCCTTTTATCACAAGGTTATATAACTCAGATCTCTTATTAACAATTAATTCATTGTTCATGAATTTCTTTGTGAATTCACTTTTAAATTCTGTTAATGTATTAAAAAAACTACAATTATATACCCTAAACCATTTTAATGCGTGACCCTTAGTGAAGTTCCTATTAATTTTAACAACTTATTATCATTTTCCCCATCCTCGTAGACTTTAACTTTTTCTAGAAAATCTTTAGCCTGTCTCTCGTTATTCCCCCAGAATTCTCCTAACTCTGGTGCTTTCCATACACATGTTTTCAGAATTTCTTCAAGCTCAACTTTTCTATTTTTACTTACCTTTTTGAATTTATTAATAAAACTTTTCCCATGATAATTTATTTTTCTTTTTTATTTAAATATCTAAAACCCCTTTTGTTTCAGATTGACAGCTATCGTAATTATTATTAATAATAACACTACCAATAACAAACCTTTATTTAATTAACTATTTTATTTTTTTTAATAAAAAATTACCCTGGCCTCAATTAGGGCCCAGGGCCTTAAATCGAAAAATTCTTGTATTCCTCCTTAATCGAAGGAATACCTATTACTTCATTTTACATTAAATTAAAAAAAGCTTATATAAGTGCCCTATCTATTTTTTACATCTAAAAAACCTTTAAAACTATCACTTTGTTTAAACATAATTTTTTATTTAAATTTGCTTTTATACTAATTCTAAAATATTTTTTCAATTTCCATAACAAAAAGTTTGATTAAATTAAAGATTTCGGTTCAAGTGCAAAAATTTACCTATAACAAAAACAAGTGAAAAAAATAATTTGAAAATAAAAAATAAATTAAAAAAACTAAATTCAATCAAATCTTAATAAATCATCCAAAGTTTTATTTAGGCCTAAAAATTTTTTTCAAGTTAATTAAGATAAAATTAGTCTAATTTTACATTCTACAATTCCTTTATGTATTTTAATAACATATTTACAATTGTTCCACATACTTTCAATGTTCTGAGTATGAACACCGTTATTGTGATTTACGAACCCTTTACTGTGATTAACAGTGAAATGCGCAAATCTTAATTTACTACTTATGCCTAAATATGCTTTCTACTGATAACTGTGGATTATT